AATGGGAGATGTCAGAGCTATCTTGGGACGTGCCAGCGCTGTTATGAACATTTTTGGGAACTGGCATTCAGCAAGCACCTTGAGATGTTTGAGTTGTTGTTGAACGTTTGTTTCCTTCTCAGAGCGCGAATATGGCGTAATTTACTGGGGATCGTGACCTCGGCAGCGCAAGCCTGGAGTGAATCGTGTCCTCGGCAAGCGCGAATCTCGCGCAATTTGCAAAAGGAGTCGGGCCTCGCGCGCGCGCGCGACTCTTGCGAAATTTGCAAAGGATTCTGGCCTCCAGAGCGCGAACCTGCAAAAACAAAAGCATTCAGGCCTCGGGAGCGCGAACCTGCCCTGCTTCGCAACGGATGGGAGCGCGCATCCGGCGCGAATTACAAGTGATTCTGGCCTCGGGAGCATTGATTCAGCCACGCGCAGAGGGGGGTGGGGGGAGGGGGGAGGGCTTCTTAGAAGCACCCCTGCTTCTTAGAAGGCGCGGGCCTTACATCTATAGATGTGAGGCCGGCGCCTTCTAAGAAGCAGCCTGCTTCTAAGAAGCCCTCCCCCCTCCCCCCACCCCCTTGTGCGCGCCGCCAATTGATCAAGGTTTCCTCAGGGGCGCGAACCTAGCGTAGTTAGTATTAGATTCTAGCCTCGGGAGCGCAAACATGGCGTAGTTTACCACGGACTCCAGCCTCGCGTGCGCGACTCTGGCCCCATTGATGGGGGTCCCGTCATCGAACGTGCGAGTCTGCCAGCAGTTGTCCTGGACCCTGGCCTCAGACGCGCGATCCTGGCGTAATCTGCACCAGGATGCTGGCCTCGGGTGCGCGAGTCCGGTTTGATTGTTTAGTTGAGGAGGGACCCTGGCCATTGGGACACCAATCCCATGTATTTGCACGTGTCCCCAAAACAATTTTTAAGAACAACATAAAAACCAAAAAAAAAAAAAAAAGCAAAAACAAAAAACAACAAAAAAAACACGTGTCCCAGGGGCCCCCCGGTGAATCATGAGAACCTTGGGAGGCAGTGGTAACCAGGGCGGTTTTCGGCTTCCCCCTCGCGCGGATCAGCAGCAGCTTCTAGTAGAAGGCAGGAAGTAGAAAGAACAATAACACTGAGGATTGGAAACTGGAAGCTGCACATGGCCTGCGACCGGGACTGAGGAGCTCAGGACTGGTGCCTGTTGCTGAAATCCGACCCACGCAGCCTGGTGACCCAATGAGGGGGCTGACTGATTCTCATTGCGTTGTGCCTCAATCTTGGTCTGTCATTGTACCTTCACTGTGCGGTTTCCTGCGTCTGTTCTCGTCTGTCTCTCCCACTATGCCTGCCACTGTGTTCCCTCGCTGTGGCTGTCCTTTCGTCACTCGCCGTCTTGCACAGTTATGCCCCCCAATGTGTCATTCGCTGCAGCGGGGTGCAGCAAGAGGCGGGACGGCACCTTCGGCTCGTTGCTCGAAGGCTTGGCAACGGCCATAGTGCAAGTCTCGCTCGTAATCCTCGAGCCGGCCTCGAGCCGGTGCCACACGCAGCTGCCGCAGTTTGCTGGAACCCGAGCGCGCACGGCGACGCGTGTGGGGAAATATACTCACCTTGTGTATCGTAGCAGAACTGTGCGCGATTCCGCAGCCATTTCAGATCTCAAGAAAAGGCATCAAAATCATAATATCATTTCATGGTAGCGTGAGCTAGGCTTGATTTGAATGTCGATCCCGATTCGAATCCAAGGAGGAGCATCCACTAAGTAACCGTGGCTCTGCGATTACAATGGCGTCCCAAGAACAAATCCAACAGTTGATCGACGGACTGCAGCAGAAGGATCAGCAAATCAATCAATTAATGCAGCAATTGCAAACTCAGAATGCGAACATGCAGCAAATGCAACAGAGTCATGATCAAAACCTGCACAGAATGCAGCAGCAACATGAGGCCACAATGCAGGCAATGCGAAGCACCCTGCAACAGACATTCGAGAGTGTAGCATCATCTTCGCGCAGCTCGAAATCATTAGTTGACAACAAAGGAATAGGGAAACCAAACAACTTTGACAGCGACATGAAGAAATGGTCAAACTTCAGCTTCAAGTTTAAGAACTTTGTGTCTTCTGTTTTCCGGAGCGCTCGTGCTTTGATGGATTGGGCTGAGGAGCAGCAGCATGTAATCTCGAGCGCAATTGTTCAAAATTTGGCTCCCCAGTTTCCTGACGCAGTGGATTTCTCAACCCAGTTGTACACTACGCTTGCACAGATGACGGACGGCGAAGCGTGCGACATCGTCAAAAACACTCTTGCGGACCAAGGTCTGGGAGCCTGGCGGAAGTTGTGTCGCCGTTTCGATCCGCACACGGGTCAGCGTAAGCGTGCCCTAATGAGTTCGATTTTGCAGCCCGGTCAGTTTAAGATCCAAGAGTTATCTTCGAGCATCGAGCAGTGGGAAGAGAAGCTCCGCACGTACGAAAACAGAACACAAAAGAAACTCGACGACGACATCAAAGCCGGAATTGTTGTCACAA